CTACTTCATAGAATTGCAGGGAAGGTTTATCAAGATAAACTATCTGATGCCTAGTCTATGGTAAGCCCTTAACCATGATAGTTATTAATGGGAGCCAACTCTTTCATACCTTCCCCAATCACTACTGCTCAAAGAAGTTGTCTCTGAGTCAGAGTTTGCTTGGGAACTTGGGACAGCATCCCTGTGTTAACTTTAATTTGCTTAGTTTTTTTTTTTTTTATCATCCATCAGAGTAAAAAATATGACAGGTGAACTTTTGCACTTCTTCTGTAGTAAGATTTTCAGAAATCTGAGTTTAACTCAATGTTTCAAAAATACTCCTAATCCAGGACTTCCCTGGTGGTCCAGTGGATAAGAACCCATCTTACAATGCAGTGGACACAGGTCTGATCCCTGGTCAGAGAACTAAGAACCCACGTGCCTAGGAGCAACAAGAGATCCCGCCTGACATAATGATGATCCCTCATGCCACAGCTAAGACCTGACACAGCCAAATAAATAAGTAAATAAATAAATATTTAAAAATACTCCTAATCCCTAAATTCCTGTCGTATATGAATGTCAGTCTCAAACGCCTGATCTGTAACTTGCCGATACCACTGGATATGTTGTAAAGTGTCACCTTTAAAACTGGTTTTAAAGTTCACCAAACAAACAAACAAACAAATAAATAAATTCACCAAAAATAAATTATAGTAGTTACATTGGAGTGGTAAGATAATTTTTGTTCTCTGTTTTCCCCAATACTCTATATTGTTTTATTAGTCATAATTATCATTTTTAAAAAACAGAACTATGCCCAGAGTTAAATTCCAACTTTATTCAATGTTTTGCCATGCCCAGTTCTATCATCACTCTCATTCAGGACTCGACCCACTTAAATTAGTACAACAGCAGTAAGAGCTGACCTTTCTATGTCAAAGCTAAATATTGGAACTTAAATGTAGGAAGGCTTAGCTTGCTGGGAGTACCTTCTGGGAGAGCTATTATCAGAAGGCAAACCTCAGCAGAGGTTAATATCCTCCTACCAACTGTGGGAAAATACATAGGATTTTAATAGTAAAAATATTTAGGAAAAAGAATTTAGAATCTTAATTCTCTCCCTTGAATTCTCTTTCCCTTGAGGGAAAATGGAAGAGAATGAGGTAGAAGTCCATTCTGGTTAGTAAAGAACCAGGCAGAAACCAGCATTCATCACCGAGGCAGTAGACCAGGGAAAAAAAAGAAAAAGAAGAACTTATTAAAACCAATTAAAGTGAAGTTAAATAAAAATTTTATTCTAAATTTTTTTTCCCTAGGAATTAAATACAGTTCCCTGAGATGGTGGGAAACATCCTGGAGCTCCAGTCACAAAATCAAGAAGCACAAATATCACTAACCTCAAAAAGTGTGTTTAACAGGATAGTAGACTCATTCTGACCTGCCTCCAAGTGGTACCAGGGCTAACGTGTCTTCCGGGTAGAACTGACCCCGGTGTCTCATGTGTTACTGGAAGGGACCTCAGAGATCATCACCTAGTTCAACCACCTCCTCTTCCAGATCAAGAAACCAAGCACTTCCCTGCAAGGAAGTGGCTCAGCCAGCCTGGCACATGAACTCAGCCACTTACTGCCGGAAAGAAACTCAAGCTCAGGGCCCCTGCTGCCCAGTATGTGTGTGTGTGTGTTGGGGGTGGGGGTCCTCACTTCCTCTGCCAACTTTAGGCTTTTGGGGGAGATTACCTGCCCATCCAGAACCAGGGCACGATGCCCCACCTCTCAACTCCCCTCCTGTGGAGCAGAAGTGGTGGCACCTGGCTCCTGGGGAGGGAAGGGGGACACTCGGGGAGGGAAGGACTTAGTTGGTATGAGGATGGAGCAGCCAGGGAGCTGACCCACAGGTGACCCCAGCGCCTGCCTGATTCCGCTGACCACACCCTCTGGGGAAACCTCACCCCAGAAAAAGTCTGGAGTCATTAGGACAATGGGTGGGTTGAAAATTCAGGGAAAATGAGAAGGGGATGACCGATGGATTCTTGGTTTCAGGGTCTTTCCCCTCCTTTCCTTCCTCATCCATGTTGTCCTGATGACCCCATCTTGCAGGGCTCTTATGAGGCCCGACATGACACTGCCCTCCTTGTGCAGGCTTTGTCCGTGGGGGATGGCCAAGAGCCCATTGTCATACACCAAGGCAGGGGTCCTCCCTGTGAGATGGGCCTGGGTCAGAGCTATTCAGACTGGAGGACAGGAACCATTAAGGAAAGCTTGGAAGGACCTCCCTGGGGGCCCAGTGGTTAAGACTTCACCTTTCAATGTAGGGGTTGCGGGTTTGATCCCGGATCGGGGAGCTAGGATCCCACATGCCTTCTAGCCAAAAAACCAAAACATAAAAACAGAAGCAATACTGTAACGAATTCAAAAGGTTTAAAAAATGGTGCACATCAAAACAAACAAAAAAAATTTTTTTAATTAGAAAAAGAAAGGAAAGCCTGGAAAGGCAGGAAAGAGGACAGAGCTCTGGGACTCCACAGGGGGATATCGTTTTCAATGATTTCAATCCAAGGATAGTGAGTCTTTTCCACACACCAAAATGACTCACTTTGTTTTAGTGAAATTTGGAATTTGCAATGATAAGGGCAGAACCATGGAGTATTTCCCTGCCAGTTAGCACCTAACAGCTGCCCTCAGTCACCTCACAAAGGAGAGGTGCACCTGCAAAGCCCGAAGTTAGCCCCATTTTACAGATGAATTAGCAGCTCAACACTTGAAGTTATTTGGTAAGTGGCAGAGGACTGGATTCCATCTGCATGAACCAACTCTCTGTTTTGACAACTTTCCTCTCACACTGACATGTCCTTTATCTCTGAGGGTTCAGGAATAAGGTAACAATCTTTCAAGATGTAACTGATTTCTCAAAGACCCCCAAAGTATTTGACCTCTTTTAGATGGCACACATAAATGGAAACAAACTTCTCTTTTGGAAAGAAGTGCTTTTCCCCCCTGGTAAATTTGGGCCACCTCTGCCATCTCTGCGGCCACAGCAATGCCCTGAGTACACTGACCCACAGACCAGATCCCCTCTGCCCAGCAGCCTCCTTCAGGTCCCTGTAGCGGAAGAGGGGGTCTCTGGGCAAGAAGTGAGAATTATTTCCTTTAAATGCTCAGCAATGCTCTTCTGTTGCTCTAAGTTGGGAAACAACACACACATGTTTTTAGAAACTCAACGTGGAGATTCACTGGGTACCCGAGTCAGGTTATTTAATTCGGGTAACATCTATTTTGACAACTGATACTCTTCTACCTTCCATTCTTATGGCTAAATGTGGTATTACAGCTGGTGCCAGATCACCTTATTCACCTAGTTACTCTCTCACCCCGTGCCTGTTTCATCAGGTGTGAAGGAGAGAGGACTAAAGTCCCACTGACAAAGCATTCGGCCTTCCAAGAAACGCTCCCCTGAGGAGACCTTAGCTCTTCTTCCTACAGCACCACATCAGAAGCTCCCACCTCTTCCTGACTCTCCTAGCATGTCAGTTCCTTCAGCTCTCATGTGTGTTATTTTGGTTTTCAACTCTTCACTGACACATTAGACATGTATATCCCCAGCCTGGAGGCCTCCAGAGCGAGTCCTCTAACTGCACCCAGCACAGTCCGAGACTTGCTGCCGGTGTGCAGTTCTGTCCAAGTCCTCCTCTCGTATCACTGCTCAGTCCCTGGGCTGTACTCTCTGGGGCTCTGCCAACAGAACTTGGTATTTCACATCTGTGAAAAAAACATGAAGATAAAACTGAACTCCCCACCACTGCTTCATGGCCTCAGGGTGACAGGCCCCCTCAGCAACAAGGGGAAGGAAGCAGCTCCCAGATCTCACAGCTGGGAACCCACACCACCTCTTCTCAGAGCAGACTCAAATCCATGCGACCCAGGCCTCCCATTGACTCACAATTTTTTTTTTCTTTTTATTTAAATAACCTCAAAAGTTCCTCGGAAGCTACCAAAACCATACAGAGGATAGAAGTCTTGCCCTGGACCCTCCAAGACTTCTGTGCAAACAAACAGACCCCAAGGGCTGGACACCAGGTGTTAGGAGGTTTCACAAGGATCCTGTAAGGGGATCTCTTAATGGGCAAGAATTCACCAATTTTGAGGGTCTGACATACTGGGTATTATTTTTGCATGAAGGGGCTTTGATTCCTGTTCAGAAAAGCCATGCAAAGGGTCAACTCTCCTAGATGTTCACACACTGGCCTCCTGTGGCCACTAAGCTATCCTGAATTGGCAAGGTTTGGTTTGCAGTTTTAACAGATAAATGCTGATGTCCTTGTGGAAGAAATCAGCCCAGAAAAGGCCTAACCCCCAATGAGCACGGCAGCCTGCTGCCACCTATTGGTGATGCGGTGCAAACGCAGGCAGCCCATCCCACAGGGTGGAACTTTGGAGGAAAATACAATGAGTCCAAAAAAATCACACAGTATTTAGGTCGCATGGAGAGCATAAAATATGAGTGTTTATTAAATGTCTTGGATGTTTGGGTCAAAACTCCATGAGTCTTAACTGGTGCTACTGCAAAGCAAGCTTTCTAGGCCTGAGGATTTGCCTCAGTTTCTCCATCAGCACAGAACCACCGGAGTCTGTTCTAGACCAAAGTGCTGGGGGGCAGAAGCAAACACAGAAAGGATGAACAGAAACAAGCTGTGACCCCCTAACATACTCAAAGTTGTGCTGTCTACAGTGAAAAATGGTGTGGCTTGTCTGGGGCCAGCAGTGGGGATGGTCTAGTCTTGTGCAGTGAAGATGCATCGCCTTGGTCCCGACCACCTTCTCTTGACCCCACGGCAGTTTTCCTGACCCGTCCTCAGGCTTCTACCGAGTCCTGACTCTGCCTGTCACCCACCCTCCACTTCAGTTCAATTCAACACTGACATTCAAGGAATGAAGGCAAAGGCTGGGCTGGAGGGAGGGTGAAGAGGAAACTGGAAGGAACGTTCTTGGCTGGACCCCACGGTCGAAAGACGAGGGCCCTCAGATGAGGAAGACGATGCCCTCGGAGACCATGACCTGGTTGTCGTCCTGCATCCTGCTCAGCGCAGCCTGGATCTCCGTGGAGGAGAAGGGCTCTTCGTTGTCTCGGTTGACGGATTCTGTGAGGCGACTCATGCCAACTGATTGTGCATGAGCTTCCCGGAACACCTCTAAGAGGGCCGCCTTGAAGGCCTTCAACCTGCCCAGGATGGGAGAGAGAGGGTGAAGGAGGAGGAAGCTGCCACAACGATGCCGGAGCCCATGAGCATCAGTGTACCCCACAGACTGCCCCTAATGGCCGCTCCGCGCCTGAGCTTCGCCCTCAAAGCTAAGCAATTAGGTTACAGAGCTTCCTGCCCATAGAGAAATAACAGCATTTTAAAAACCAGAAGCCACTGAGGATATGGGAAACTGGCATCTGTACACTGTTGGCAGAAATGCAAACTGGGATGACATCTTTGGGAAGCAAGTTAGCCACATGTGTTATAATTCTGAGGTGCAACTCCTCTGACTCTGGGAATCCATTCCTAGAAACTAACCCCACAGGTCCATCCTCACCACTACAGTGACATGTGTTAAGAATGCGTTTTACTGTAAACAGCAGTCTTAGGAAAGTCAGACATCCCTCATTAGAAAACATAAGAATGTACATGTTCATACTATGGAAAACCCGCAGTCACTGAAACGAGTCCTCCAAGATTCAGAGAGTACTTTCAGATGTAGTCGATTCGCTGTCCTGGGGGCTGGAGTTACACTTGATCTTAATGTTTCTTCCTAAATACTTTACACAATTTTCCTAACTTTTTTCAAGCCTGAAATTGCCATCAGAATATAAAACATTCTAGAAATCCTTGGGCCTCTAGTTTTGAGCTCTGTTGATAACAGCTTGTTTCCTACCTCCAGGGAAGAGGTCCTTCCCTACTCACCTGGATTCACTCAACTCCACCTTCTGGGACTCCTTGGTCTCCTGGGAGTCTGTGGCCTTTGGAGTGTGCACTTGAGGGGAAAAGGTTACAGAGAGCAGAAAACAACAAGGTGAAGCCACGTCCACGACCCCAGAGGCCCCTCTCCACCCGCTGAGCCTGCAACCCTGGGGCTCACGTGGGGCCGGCCAAAGCAGCTGGAAGAAAGGCTCTGGTCAGGCAGGAGCCCCCCAGCCCACGGGATCTGGGACGCTCGTGCCAGGCCTGGCAAAGAGCATGGTGCACCGAGGAGGTAGACGAGAGGGCAAAGCTTATTTCCAAAGCTCTGAGTTTCCTGGATTCTTGGACACAGGGCCCCAAGCAGTGAGCTGAATGGGAACCCACAAGCAAATGCATAACACAGAGCATTACAGAGCCAGGAGGCCCAGACCATCTTTTTACCAGTGGGGGCTGCTCGCTCACCCTGAGGCATTTCCTCCTCCGTGTTGGTGAAGTCGTAAGGGTCATAGGAGTCCCCTTCCTTGGCATCCGAGGGATGGGTCCTCCTCCTAAAACACCGACAGTCCAAATGGAATGCTGGGCCCGGGCCTGTACAAACCGCTGCCTTTTCTCAAAGAGACCAAAGGTCCCTGGACTAGAGCACAAGCAGGCCCTGCTTCCCAAGGCTCTCTCCCTGTCGCCTACCCTCAGAAATTCAGTCTCAGGCCTGAAATGATAACCCAGAGGAAAGACTTCTGAAATGTGAACCCAGCAGTCTCCCAGAGCTTCTCTAGCAAGAGAGGGCCAAATCCTCACACGGAGGACAAAGGAGGCTGTAACCCTGTCTGTCTGGGTCACCTCCACCCTCCAACCCTCTGCAGCATTGGTCTGGTCACCCCTTCCTGCAGCTTTGACCTCCCCCCCCACCCCCCGCCGAACATCCTCCCCAGTCCCAACCAGAGTCTTTCATCTCCTTCCTCTGTGCCCCATCCAACCTCTTCGTCTTCTGCTCCTGGTCCTCCTGGCTCTTCTCCACTTCATCTTCCGTCTCTGATTCATCCTCATTTCGCTTCTTACGTTTCTTCTCCTTCTCGAGAACCTAGGACCAAGCCACATGTGAGTGGGCGGGAGGGTCACAGATACTGGGGACTGAATGAAGAACAGCCCCCACCTGCCCGACCACCAGCAGCAGCAGTGACGCCCCTGGGTCTGATGCCCTGGCCTCTCACTCATTCCTGAGCCCAGGAGGGAGGGCAGGGAGTCGGCTGTGACCCATCTTTAAAACTCCTAGGAGCCGTGTGCCACACCCTTCTCAGAGCATGCACTCTAAGAGTGTCCACTGAATACAGAAGTGAAAGAAAAAGTCTATCCCATATTGCTTAAGTGGAAAAACAAGCCATTTCTTTATAGATTAGGTATTTAAGACAACTCCCACGCGAGCAAAGAGACTGTCAAAAAAAGCTCATCAGACCCACAGGTGAACAGCCAAGGGCTACAATCCATCCGACTGGTGGGTGGGGAGGACAAGGTAGGGAAGGGAGTCGAGGCCTCCAGGCCCACTGTGTAACCAGACAGACACACACTGTCACAGCAGCAGACACGGGGGACTTCCGGGAGGAGCAGCAGGTGTAAAGGACACCTGAAGAAGCTGCCAAGAGGAAGGCCCAGACTCTGGAAGCACTTGCTTCTTCAAGAGGCAAAGAAGGAGCAGACAGAGGAGCCGTCAGCTGAGGTGCCGCTCATCAATGAAACCAGAGTCTCTGAGGCCTCCAGGGGCTCTGACTTCAGTGTTTTACAGCCTTCCAGCTGGTTCTCACATGCGCCACGGCTGACAACCACCGGAGAGGAAAGGCCGCTGCTCTCTGCCAACGTTCCAGATGCCGGGGTCAGCCATGCCCGGCTGGGAGGCCCGAGCACAGACGACCCACTCAGAGCAGCTGCAGGCGCAGCGCCTGGACGCTCACCTTCTTGAAGTAAGCGTACTGGACGAGCTCCACAGCCTCCTCTGCGTCCTGCAGGTCCACGGTCTTGCTCATGCGGGCCTTGGCGTGGGCCGTGGCCAAGCGAATCAGGGTTTCCAGGGTCCGGGCTGTCACTGGAGACGTCTGGGGGAAGAGAACAGGGGGGGCCATCCTCCAGAAACCCGGTGGCGTGCCCGTCAGACCCACCTGCACAGGGAGGTAAGTCCAAGCCGCCTAGCCAGAAAAACGACGTGAAATTCCCAAAGAAAAGTAACCCGGGAAACATGATAGAGAGCGCTGAGGGAGCGGGGACGAGCTGAACAGGGAAGACAACTAGGTGTCTCCCGGCTGGAGTGAGGACAGTGGGGAAGAACCTTCGCCGCAGGGCCCGCCACACGCCAGGACCCCGCTTTTATGTTCAGTGTCAGTCATTAATCTGGAGCAGCTTTAGAGATGAGGAAGAGGGGACTCAAGAGTTTCAAATACTTTGTCCAGAGTCACACCCACATGTCGGGGGAGGGGGTTATGAGAGGGGTTATCCGACAACAATCGTTCTAAAGCTGGGAGAACCCACTGAGGCCCAGATGACGAGCAACCGGGTAACAGGAAGCCCTTCAGGCCAGAGAGGAAAAGGGAAGGAATCACGGCACTAAAATGACTCCCGTGCTCCTGGGGGCGCGGGCACTCCTTCTCTGGCCTCATCCTGAGGGGCTCCGGTCCCCACTCTCCGGGTCATCGTCCCCGAGGGTGGGCTCACCCTGGCGGTGTCCGAGCTCATGCTGTCCTGACTGCGCAGGCGTGAGTACTCCTCCGCGATGTAGGCGGCTGACTCCTGCGTCAGCACCGGCTTGATGATTTTGGCCACGTGGATGTACTTCCGCATGAACGCCGCACTCACCATCTTCTCCCTGGACCCACACACACGGTGACTGTCAGTCCCCTGCCGCAGCCCGGGCACCTGCCTGGGGTCCTGGCCTTGCCCCTCCTCGGGGAAAGCCAGGGTCACGTGACAGGGCACACATGGCCTGGAACCCAGTGTCACAAACCGGTTATACAGGACATGTCCAAAACCCTCTCATGGGTTTTATTTAATTCTACAGTATTACTTAAGTATTACTTGTGAAGTAGGTAGTTTAGGTGTTATCTGTCCTGCTTTATCGGTGGGAGAAATATGGCTCAGAGAATTTTAAGTGGACTCAAAATTCCTTTTCTGACTCCAAATTCTACATTCTTAAACCAGTGTGTTTCAAGATTACACAGTGTTTCCTACTGCACCATGGCCAAACAGAGGCATGCCATGGCTACCCACTCCAGTATTCTTGCCTGGAGAAGTTTATGGACAGAGGAGCCTGCTGGGCCATGGACCACGGGTCACAAGGAGTCGGACACAACTTAAGCAACTGAGCACACCTGTCAGGCTCTGGGCGCTTGAGCACAAGTCTCCTTTATCCAAATCTGCCTGCAGATTTTCCAGTGTTTGTGATCTACCAACCCCTTCAACATGCGCTCCAAGGGCCATGTGACTTGTGCAACGCTTCACGTACATGGGTAACAAGACACATCCACCACCGGTTAGGCGGGTCGTCAAAGCCTTCCATTTTAGGAAAACACCAGAACCTAAGTTTGATCACCCACAAACATTCACAAGGCAAGTGACCATGAAAAATTATGCCAATCTGGAAAAGAACACAGATCCCCACGATGATGACTCCAAGCATGACCTTGGCATGGGCAGCTCTAACGTGACACAGATCTCAGGCTCCCTCCAGGAGGAGGTATGGAGAATGCTTACTTCTTCTTCTTGACCCCGTGCAGAAGGCTGTCATGCTTCTCGTAGATCTGGGTGTCCTGCTGGTCATCCGGGCTGAAGTTGGGATCATCTGTGGCCAGGATATCCACAGCGCTGCCTAGAGGCATAGCTGAGAAGCCCAAGTTGGGAGAATGGAGTAAGAAAGAGCTGAACCCAGAGAAATATCGCTTTTTCTGAAGACAGGTGAGACTCACAAAGTAAGGATCCAGAAGGAAGCAGACACATGGGCCCCACAAATAAGGAAGCAGAACCACTTGGTCCACAGGAGATGCTCTGAGGTGCTCCCAGACCCCAAAATGGACAAGAGACACACCGTAGGAACCAGGGAGGGGAGGGCGCCTTCACATCACCCCAGATGCTGCCACGCCCCCCGCCCCAGGCTGGGCCTGGGCGCGGCCTGTGTCTGGGCGCCCCCCACATCAGTCCGGCTCTCCTCCCGCCTCACCGTCACCATCCTGCTCTCCGGGTGCCCTGTAGCGGTGCATTCGGAGGACGTGGTCTGAGATCTCCCGGTCCTGCTCGGGATCCATCTGGTCCAGCATGATGAAGAGGAGGTCGAATCGGGATAGCAGCGAGTCCTGCAGCCCGATGTTCTCCATGGGGGTCTTGTACTGATCATACTGTAGGGGGGAACACGGAGAAAAGGAGCGGGGAGATAACGTCGATCACAAGAAAGAACAAGGAGGCCAGATCAGTCATGGGAGTGAGAACAGAAGGCCAGACCCTCGGAATACAAACCAAACAAGCTATGAAGAAGTACAGCATTTCAAAGCTACTAGGAAACGGAATTCACCTCCTCTGCGTGCAGCCCTTTCCTCATCTACGCTCTGTGAACAGAGCCCCAGCCTCCCAGCTCCAGTGCCTCTAACAGGCCGAGTGTGGGTCTCAGAGCCAGCCTCCTCCTCAAGCTTTACTAGTGCTCACTCCCAGGCAGATCAGCTCTGGAAGATGAGTCCCTCTTTCTACCTGTGATGAAGACAGATAAGCTGGCTAAGCCAGAAACACCTGAAACCTTGGGCCTCTTTACTTGGAAGGTACTGCGTAAAGTCTCAACAAAAATGGGTGATAATCTATAAGCCACAGTACCTTAAGGACCCAAGGAGGTTTTCCTGGGATTCAAGAACGCCTATGCTCTTATCCTTCAACTCTAGGCCTACCAGCCAGCCGATGGCTCCCCACAGTCAGAGGCCTGAAAACCTCACAGGTAACATTAACGATTCTGATCACGTTCACATTTCAGGACCTGCCATCTTCTCCCTACATTTTCCAAATAAACCTTCAGAATGACGTATCACATGTTACCATTAATCTAAAAATCATACAGTTCTCAACCCACACTAACCCATTAGAAACAACCTACAGAGACTTCCTAAACCAGAGCCCCCAGGAGCCCCAATCCAGAGATTAGGATTCAGAGACTCTGGGCTGAGGCCTGAGCACCTGTATGTTTAAATATGCCACCAAAACAGGTGTTTCCATGCACTGTGGGATCATAAACTGTCCGCGCACGGCATGGGCTCTGGGTTGAAACCCTCTGTCATTTTCTAGTCTGTGACTCAACAGGTACTTAACCTTTTGTGCTTTCATTTTCTCATCTGTAAAATGAAGATAATACCTCCCTCCCTCACACAGTTAGTGAATGAAAGGAGATAATAAATGTAAAGCGTCTGTAAATATTAGTTAACAGTATAACAGTGGTACGGTCTTTAAAGGGGGCTAGTTGGTAATCTCTACCATAAAAATGCATGTAACTGTTAATCCAGTAATCCCATTGCCAAGTATTCATCCCTGAATGTTTAACATAATGCACATTAAGGGGTATTCACTGCAGCTTCAGTCATAATAGCAGGCAGGAAAAAGGGAAAACACCAAATGTCTATCACATGGAGACCGGCTAAATAAATCTTAAGTCCATACAATGGAATAGACTGTTGCTTAAAAAAAAAAAAAAAATCAATCCCCCAAACTAAGCAAACCCCAAGCTGCATAAATATAAAAGATTACACCTAAGCACATCATAGTCATACCAAGAAACAAAGACAAGTAGATTAATTCTTAACAAGGAGATAATATATTTACTGGCACACGCTAAAGTTTTGGTTTCCTGAAGCACTCAAGAGCTGTCAGTGGTTTTCTCTTGGGAAATGAATAGGAGAGAGAAGGCGGGCTATCAATCTCCTTATTATATCTCTCTGCTCTGTTCATAAACCCTTCCACCACCTGCGTACAGTACTCTCATTTCAATGTCAATATCAGCTACCTGGGTTGTGACGCTGCCGGTCACTTTGGTTTTCTTCCTTGTATTTTTAAAAATGTATTTTAAGTACCTTCCCAGGGGATTCTGATGTGGATGAATGGGTGAGGAACCACCGTCCTAAACCAAGGGCAGTAACAATATGATGAACTTACTGTAGTCTGTGGTCTGGGTCACCTGGAATAAACTCCACAGCCCAGTTACTCGGCAAAACCAAATGAAGGTGAGGACAACAGTTGAGTGCCTGACTCCACTCACCCTGCCGTAGACGGGGTTGGCAGCTGCCAAAACACTGCAGCGGGCATTGAGGCGGGCGTGGATGCCGGCCTTGGCGATGGTGACTCGGCCCTGCTCCATCACCTCGTGAATGGCCGTGCGGTCCATGTCAGACATCTTGTCAAACTCATCGATGCAAACCACGCCTCGGTCAGCCAGGACCATGGCCCCCGCCTCCAGACGGCGCTCACCTGGGAGGTGGGAAGGGGAAAACACACACTACCATCCAGGTTGTGGGGGGATGGGGGGGGGGAGATGTCAATCTACTTTCTAAGCATCTTGCACCATCACATGAGTGGGAGAGTGGAATGAAGAGGTGTCAGCTTCTGAGACTCAGAGAAGACCCTGGGGTCATCTGTTCAAGCTCCAATCTGGACAGTATTACTTGTCCCACTTTGATACCTAAGTAGCCAGCCTCCAACGGCCTTCCTTCACAGATTTCCTCTTTGAGCCTCATCTTCAAGCCATTTCCCAACTAGATCTCTGTTCTCTTTTCACTGGCCTTCAAAACCCTATCTAATGTATAAAATAGTAACAATCTTCATTTTTATCTCTCTTCAAATGTCAGAAGCTTTCTCCTTCAGAACTCTCTCTGACAACCTTCCAGGAGACATTCTTGTCACTAGACAGCCACCCAAACCATTTACATGATTTACTCACTGTTGCCAGTCCCCTCCAGGCAGGCCTGCTCTAACCTCTCAGGTGTATCTTCCCAACACCAGCCAGGGCCCGGAGCAAGCTCAAACCATCTATGCGCACCTCACTGCCAGACCTCTGCTAAGGACCCTTCCACCCTTACCTGTTTCCTGGTCTGTGGTGACAGCGGCCGTGAGACCCACACCGGAGGAGCCCCGGCCGGTGGTGGGGATGGCCCGCGGTGCTGTGCAGAGCACATATCGCAGCAGCTGGGACTTGGCGACCGATGGGTCTCCTGTAACGGGACGGGGCAGTGGTGACTCTCGGAACCCCCCCCACCCCCAGCGCCCTCAGCCAGTGCTGCTTTTCTAGCACAGATCTTGACACAACAGAAATATATAGTAACGGGTTGTTCATGTAATTTTTTTTCAATTTCCCTTTACCATTCCTGGAAGAATAGACATTAAAAATCAGAAAACCCAGAAATAATAAAGATATAACTTTAAAAATTCACTTTAGACTTCTGCCCTTTGAAGGAACTGAAACACAGCTAGGTACAGACACACACATTGACAGATGCCAGATTCCTGCAAGCACACCCCACAGGGGAAGATCAGGTGGCTACACAAGTCCCCACACAGTACCTATGAGAAGGATATTGATGTCCCCACGGATGTGGCTGCCGTTCTCGAGGTCTCGCTCCACCCCACCCAGCAGCAAGCAGAGGATCGCCTTCTTGACATAGTCATGCCCGTGGATGCTGGGCGCCAGCGACTTGGCCAGCTGGTCAAAGATATCCTAGAGGAGGGACAACCACGGAGTAAAAAGCCTGAGGAAACGCCCTGGGGCTGGATGAACTGGCTTCATACTTCAGGCCACAGATGATGCTTGAAGAAATATTCTGTTTCTAATGGTAAAAGCTACTTCTCTAAGACTTTCACACTGATCAGAGCATTATCAGAATAGACACAGAGAAAGCCGGGATTCCAACTCCTGCTTGGAGCTTTAATTTTTAAGGAAAACAAAAAGTGTTTCCAGGCCCAAAACATTTTGGGTTTAGTAAGACTGTGTACTGTGCTTCAGCAGTAACCTTTGTCACACATGCATATATTCTGTTCAGTTCTAAATATGGGCATTCTGTCTTTAAAGAGAGAAATTTTTTAAAGAAAAATAAGAGAACTAAAACAAAAAAAACATATTTCAAATTTAAATAGCAATCAATGTATCACTGATATATCCCATACAGACTTTGTACACTAATATTCTAACTCCTATTCTAATATTTATATTAGGTTCACTTAACAGGGAGCACAACAGAAATATTAAAGAAAAACACCCTTTTGCTTACTGACTCAAAACTAGAAGCTGGCACCAAATACTTCAGAGAAAAACCTTGACCTTCCTCCTGATCCAGGACAAAGATGGCCATGCCCAAATATGACCCTAACAAATTTATCTCCACCCTCAGATCCCCTGAGGACGCCAGACCTTGGAGCGGGTTTTACTGAACTTCTTGATCTTGGCTATGTCCTCAGCGGAGAAGGAAGGCTGAACATCCTTGCTCATCTGTTTCACGTTACAGGCAATCAAGACAGTCCTGGGACAGAGAGGAAAGCATGAGGCTATTTTCAGTTGCTAACACCAAAACCTTCTTGGGCTTCTAACCTAGAATGGCAAATCAAGAAAGGAAGGAAGTAGAGGGGAGGAAGAGTACAAAGAGGGAGTAAGGAAGAAAAAAAGAAAAGAAAAGCTGTTCTGAATTCAACCACTGATTCTCTTCAGCTACACTAGTGGTAAAGAACCCGCCTGCTAATGCAAGAGACATAAGAGATGTGGGTTCAATCCCTGCATTGGGAAGATCCCCCGGAGAAGGAAATGGCAACCCACTCCAGTATTCTTGCCTGAAGAATCCCATGGATGGACAAGCGTGGTGGGCTATAGTCCAAAGGGTCGCAAACAGTTGGACATGACTGAAGTGACCTGGCACGCATGACACAAATCTGCTCATGGCGCCTCACCTTGTGAATTTACCCCCTGCTGACCTACAGAAATGAGTGTCTTGGAGGGAGGTGGAAACACACGAGAAACCCCCAGGCAAGCCAGGAGGCTCTAACATGAGACCAGTAATTTCCACTCTTAGCAAAAAGACAGTTCATCTTGCAGGCAGGCAGTGTTCTGTCCATCTAATGGAACTCTCAGGACGATGGCAAACTGGAGAAAGACTGCCACCTGAATCCACTCTGCCAGCTGCGTTCTGGACACCTCAGGACGGACCAGGTACCTGAAGGTGCCCGAGGTGTAGCCTCCCTTCTTTCCCGGAAGGCAGCGGTAGGTCCCCACCACCTGCACCCGGTCACCGGGCTTCACTCTGTCCACCAAGTCGTCATCCAGGATGACGTCCACAGAGCGGGGAAGCTGGCCGGCGGGAGCCTTCTCCGGCATTTCCTGGATGGTGATGGTCTGGTGGTCCTTGTAGACAGAAAGGCCGTATTCTGTCTCAAGGGGATTGTTTTCCTCATCCTGAAAAAGGCACACGGAGCAGCGGTCACCTCAGCCCTGTCTTAGAAACACCACACATTCATTTTGTTACAGGAAACAAATATAATTCAGATACCCTCACAAGATTAGTATCTAGGAACATAATGCCCCAAGTATCTTCTCCAGTTCTTCACAATCCTGTCCTAGTAACGAACCATCAAATGGAAGGGGTGAACTACAGCCAGAGGGACCATGGTTATATTAACACGTACATATAAGATACTCAATTCTTCTGTGCTAGGAATCGGCTTTTCCACTCCTAGGTTAATACCCAACACAAATGTTCACCCAAAGCCACATACTACAGTGTTCATAGCAGCACTACTTGTAATAGCCCAAAACTAGGAAAAATACAAACACCATCAACAGGATGGTTAAATAAGTGTGGTACATCCACGTAAGTGACCACGACGCAGCAATGAAAGTATGGAGTGCACCTATACACATGGATGAATCTCAAAAACATACACTGAACAAAAGAAGCCTGACACAGACAAGCATTTAAACATAAAAACAGAGAATACTCGTAACTGCTGTAGATGTCAGTATCTCGAGGACAGGGTGGCCTCAGGAGGGACTTCTGAGCACTAGTAAGGTGCTGCTTCCTGATTTGGATGTTGATTTTATAGTATATTCATCCTGTGAAATTTCACTGAGCTGTACACTCAATGTAAGCTTTTCTGTACATTGTGTGTGTGTGTGTGTGTGTGTGTGTGTGTGTGTGTGTGTGTCTGCTGTGCTCAGTCATGTCCAACTCTTTGCGACCCCCTGGACTACAGATCACCAGACTCCTCTGTCCACGGGATTCTCCAGGCAAGAATACTGAAGCGGGTTGCCATTACCTTCTCTAGGGTTCTGTATATTAAAACTTGAATAAAAAAACATTTTGAAGTTTTACTTCCTTGCCATTTAAATTTTCTAAAAACACAACAGCTATCACTTATGGAGTGCCTACTATGTGCAAGGCACTGTGGTGTAACTTCATAAAATTATCTCGTAGGATCATCATCACAACTCAGTTCCCAAAGCAGGCCTTTTTCACATTTTACAAATAAGGAAACTGAAGCTGGGAGAGGTTAAAGAAGCTCCCCACGGTGATTGCCAAAGCCCATGCTCTTAAGAACCATGCTAGACGGTCGCCGGAACACCTGGTCTGGTATATTTCAGGTCCTGAGCTAAGAAGTTTGGCCACAGCAATCAGGAGAGTACCCCCTGAATAATTCCAGGAGAATAAATTCTAGAAAGTAGGGATCCTAACGAAAAAGAAAGCTGGGTGCCTCAGAAAATGCAAGTGGCCCGAGAGTAAAAAGACAGGGTCCTAGTCCTTGGGGCCATCAGTTACTGGAACATAAGCAAGTCATTCCACCTCTCCGACCTTCACGTTTCACCAGGAAATAGGCTAAATGGCTCTCAAGTACAACTCAAGTTACAATTCTAAGAAACTAAACCTTGCTTGGAGAAGGCAATGGCAACCCACTCCAGTACTCTTGCATGGAATATCCCATGGACAGAAGAGCCTGGTAGGCTGCAGTCCATGGGGTCGTGAAGAGTCAGACACGATTGAGCGACTTCACTTTTCATGCGTTGGAGAAGGAAATGGCAACCCACTCCAGTGTTCTTGCCTGGAGAATCACAGGCACGAAGGGGCCTGGTAGGCTGCCGTCTATGGGGTCGAACAGAGTCGGACACGACTGAAGTGACTTAGCAGCAGCAAACCTTGCTTATATGTTGATTCCTCCACCAGGTGATAAAACTGAAGACAAGGACTGAGTCTTCTTTAGATCTGTGTTCTCCGCAATGCCTGACAATCCTTTGGATACAGTCGCTCTAAATTAACATTGGATGGCAGGAACTTTTAAAAATTGCCATTTTTCGTGAGATGCGAGTAAGATAATTTGGAACCAGGATATTAATGATTTCTCATCTTGACTTTTTTTTTTTTTAAATTCTAACATAAAATGAATTTGACTGGAAAGGGAAATGGCTACTGGGAAGCAATTTGCTACTGTTACAGTTATCTGTACATTCCTTGTTTAATTGAAAAACTAGAAATGGAGGTAAAGAATTTAAGGTAAGAGTACTGATTGGATGATTAGCATTGGCTTTTACCTTTTTGTTCTAACAGCAGGAAAATCATTTCTTTATATCCCCCTCCTTCACCTGTATCAACTTTGTTTTCTACTGTTAATTACATTGTATATTTATAGTTCTTTACTTACTGTTGTGCATGTACTGGCAATAAAAACATCACTTGGAAAAAAAAAAATCTGATGGCAGGGACAGAATCAGTTCAGACATCAAATAATCAATGTTAATCATCTTCTTTTGTCTCATTCAGTAAGAAGGCCTTACACCATCCTTAAGTCAAATGAATTTGAACACCAAGACTAAAATCACATTCTACTCCAACCTTCTCTCAAACCCAGAGTAAAATATTTGCAAAGATTTCACAGTAACATGACTGCATTAAGTATTTTTCCATATATATTACTTTAAGAAGATTGTGAAATCATGATACTTTAACTTTGCTAAAAGATAAATGTACATTAAGTGACCTTTTTGCTTCCTTCAACTCTTCCCTAGTCTTCCAAATTTCCTAAGAGAATATTTTCCTTAAAAAAAAAAAAATTGTGGCCTTTTCATATTAAACGATGGCTAGCAATCTTCCTTCAAATGAATCCTTACTTTTCACCCTAGTCACATCTAGAGGAAGACTTTACATATTACCTAATTACTTGCATTAAAAAACAACTTTGAACCCAATCTCTGAAGAGGTCCGACTAATTGATTCCCCTCACCTTGGTGGGATAGACAGAGCTGGAAGGAAAGGCCACCAGGGTGGTGAGATCAGAATAACGTCGCTCTATGGTCTTCTTGGTAGCAGGACAGTAGTGGACACTGCGGACGACTTTGGGACGAACTAGAGAGCCTAGGAATAGAAAGTCACCCAACTAAGCAGTGAAAAGGGGATCTGACCCAGGCAAGTCCATGACGACTCCAAATTATGTTCTTCCAACTAGTCAGGTTATCTCAATACTAGCTGTCGTTAATTCATTTTTATATTTACACATAGAATAATACCATATCCAGGTAAAACCTTAAAGTACCGCTGATCCCGACCAAGCAGAAGGAGGAATTCAGGGTCAGAAGGAGGAGACTGCCAAGAGCCAAGACTCCTCCATTCTCAGCAGATTCACCATTCCGCTGGCACAGGTGGCCACTCAAAGCTCCCCTAGTTACCGTGCAACACTTGAGTTCCTTCAAGTTTCACCCGGTAATTTCAGGGCTCTACCTTTTTGAAGCCATAAGCTCCCCAACTCTATTCTGCCTCTCCTGCCTTCCACACGCCCAAGTCTACCCCACCTCCATTCCGCGGGTCTCCAGCTGTAGCCCACTTACATTTAGTAACAATGCCCTCCACACAGACGACACAGCTCAGGAAGCAGGAGGTGAGGGTCCGAGGAGAGACGTGCTTGGAGCCGAAGCTGCCCTCCAGGCCTATGTAGAACTCCTCGTACTGCTTGGCATACGCGGCGTCAATGGAGGCCACGAAGTCCTTCAGGGCCCGCTGGAAGGCCACCAGCTCCTCAAAGGCGCTGCTCAGCAGGCTGCAGGGGTCCGCCAGGCGGAGACGCAGAGTCAAACACGGCCCGCAGAACATGCGTGGGCCTTCTTGCCTGGCCAAAGCTTGGGGGGACAGTCTAGATTCCACTTTCTCCTGCCATCCTACAAGGCCCAGCAGAACACACCAGAGCTGCGGGCCAATTTTAACTCAGTGATGGGGAAATGATACTCAGTTAAACATGGAAGGAGAGGAAAATGCCCACCACCTACTTTGCGAAGAAGTAAAAAAAACATAGAAGCAGGTGAGGGTGACGTACTAAGGGCTTCCTGGTCAAACATATTTCATCCAGGTCCTCCCCTGGGAAGCTTGCTCCAACCTGGGGAAGGGAGGGGAGCCATTCTCACTCAGGACTAGGGATGTGACTTGGAAACTCACCGGTTAGCCCTCTTCTCGTTTTTCCTACGCAGGTCATTCACGTTGACAATCAACCGGTACTGGTTATCACTAATCAGGTCCCGAACTTTGCTCTGATAAATTCCCTGGTCTTCCTGCAAAATAACCACCACATGCTACAGCAGCTCACAAATTCAAAAACTCAATGTTTTTAAAGAGAGGCAGCTCTCACAGCAAGATAAATATATCCATCCCTGCGGCAGACCTGAGCCCCCACTTCACCCACATTTTCACTCACTAGCTTCCGATTCCAAATACACCCTAAAAAGCCAGTGTATAAATTATAACAACTTCCTCAAGGTTATTATTCCTATTATCACCAACAGCTCTTCTGTATGCAGTCACTTCTCAACTTTTAATGGGGAATTAAAACAAGCTCATAAGAAGTCTAAAAAGACAAGTAAAAAACTTGTCAAAATGTAAATTAAAGGGGCTTTTAATATATCAAAGTAACTATAACTTAGTTGCAGTAATATATCTGCAACTTCTGTTGCAGAATCTTGTATGAAAATAAAATATTTTACTTCCCTATCATCTGTATAATATAAAAAAAGTTCTCATATAAGGGACCTATGAGTTGGGAGCCTTAGTTACATTTACAAACAGCACTATCAATCCTTCAAGATGCTTTACCAATATTCCATGGCTGTCAATTCTAAATTGCCTATAGTGAAAGTGAAGTCACTCAGTCGTGTCCCACTCTTTGCGACCCCATGGACTGTAGCCTACCGGGCTCCTCCGTCCATGAGATTTTCCAGGCAAGAGTACTGGAGTGGGTTGCCATTTCCTTCTCCAGGGGATCTTCCCGATCCAGGGATCGAACCCAGGCCTCCACGCATTGTAGGCAGACGCTTTTACCGTCTAAGCCACCAGGGAAGTCTATAAAATCCCCTTTATTTGCGTACCAACCCTCTTTCTCCGCTTCCTATCAGGTACGGAAAAAGAATGCGGCCAAATTAGAAAGTCTTTTCCTCCGGATAGGAAGTCAGTCATTAAAGCCTGGGGACCCTATAACGGGGCGGGTCACTACCGATTTCCCGCGGTCCTTTCCCCACTCTCCCCCCAAATTAAGAGAGCGGGAAAAGTGGGAACGATCTCTAAAAGGTCAACGTGGGCTTTGCACTTGGAGAAAACCTGTTGACTTTCGCGAGACCTAGCCACCATTTGTACTGGAGAGAAAAATTACAGGATCGCTCTTAACCACTCCGTCGCCAGGAAAGCTACCAGATCGAGGCGGAAGGTCCCGAGCAGCCACCCAGCCGCCGCAGCCTGGAGGCCCGCGGTCGCCCTTGGCCCCTAGTGTCTCCGCGGCCTTCCTAGGCTCCTGTGCGGCCCCTGGGCCTCCGAACGCCCTAATTTCGTGACTCGGCGCCTCTCTCACCTCGTCGTCCAGAAAGTCCAGGTAGTCTCTCTGCGCCTCTCGCAGCTCCACATCGTCCAGCACCACGGTCCCCGCCATGCTCGCCGCCCGGGTATTTCTGCGCGGAGTTCCTTTGGCTGACAAACCCCGGCGCGAAAACTTCCCAACTTTTCCCGCCAAGAAAAGTAACCTCAAGGGGGGGGCGGGGTATCGTGGAGCGTATGTACATTCCGATTGGCTGATTTTCTTACGCTACAGCAGCGAGCATCCAATCGAGAGCTGCTTCTTTTCCGGGTTTTCCGCGGGGCGTCTCGCGGTGGCGGGAAATGTTCCATCCGGCGCCCTCCCCTCTCCGCCCTTACTGACGAGAAGGCGGACCAATTGGACGAGGGGATACTCGCGAAACCAGGTCATTGCAGAGCCCGCGAAACCCCGGAGCTGCATTCTGGGAGTTGTAGTCGTACGCCGTTTCCCGGTACTTTTACAAACGTTCGTGTTTTTTCCCCCAAGTTGTTTCCTGACCTGCTGAAGAGTGAAGAAACTCAGCCCGGCTGTTGGACTGAAAGTAGCTTAGACGTCAGAGAACAGAGGTTTAGAACGCAGGGCGATAAAAACATAAAGGCAAGTCGTTTAAAAAATATATTCAAATCAGTTGTGCATGGATATTTTTTCAATCAACCAGTCTCTGGTGGTATCCGGGGCGGGTGGTTGGGGGGAGTGAATTTCGAGAATCTGAGGGGGAAATAGAATAACATCTTTGGAGAGGTTCTGTAGTTCAGTGACTCGTTTGCTAACTGAATACCGGGGCCTGAAGTAGCTCATAAAAATATCAAGCCGCAGAAGAGGGAAAAATAAGATAAAAATGGTCGGGATGTTACCCACTCTCACCCCTACTTCCCGCTGCCCTCCGAGGTGGCCTTATATATGTTACACGAAATTGTGGACGTAATTACTACACCATCCTACTTGCAAGCGGGTAAGTTAAAGGCTTTCTCCCCTTATTAGAAGGTCACAAGTTCTTTTTTAAAAGCTTAGTTTATTGAAAGATAATTAGGAGAAACAAAGTTGTTTCAAGCCTCTTAAGTAATGAACAGGACTAGACATTTGGTAACCATATCTGAAATTTCGACCAATAATTTATTAAATTATGTTTGAAAGTCTCTAGGACTCACTGTACACTTAAATATAATCCGCCCAAGCAAAATGTATATGCCATCTATTTGTATGTGTGTATTCTTAGTTATTACACAGTTTATAGTTAGCATATTTTTTGTGTCATCCTAGTGGGCAGATCCTTAATCAGAGGAAAAAGGCTGTCATCTGGCTAGCTGCTTTTGTTTATAAAGGGAAAAAAAGGAAGGAATTCTAGATGAGGATTCTGTTTGCAAGTATGCAGTAAGAGATAATTATTTATTAACTTGAGAATGCCTTTATCACTTGATCTTAACTGTCAGTTTATGACTATATTGAAGACCCAATGTCCTCTGCTCTGAAATCAGCTTGAAATTAATGCTAAAAGAACCAGGAAGCTTAGTTCAAATAAGTAAAAAAAAAAAAAAAAAAATCAAGTTATTTGCAATGGAAAGTTCAAAAAAGTAGAAATATGAAAACCAAATCTTAATGCTTCCTTTTTTTTTTTTTTTGGCCCTACTGTGGGACTTGTGGGATCTTAGTCCCTTGACCAGGAATTGAACCCAGGCCCCCAGCAGTGAAATTGTGGAGTCCTAAGCACTGAACCACCAGGGAATTCCCAAAAATTTCATTCAGAGTTGTGGAATTTTGCACAGAGAACCGTCCTGCCATGGTTCTGGATAAAGACTGGGTTTACTTTAATGTCATTATCCTCAGCTGTGAAAGACATTCAGATTTTTTTAAAAGTTTTCATTTTATATTGGAGTATAATTGATTAACAGTGTTATGTTAGTTTTAGGCGTACTGCAAAGTGATTCAGTTATACATACATGTGTTTCTATTGCTTTCACATTTAGGTTAGTACAGAATACTGCACAGAGTTCCGGAGAAGGCAATGGCACCCCACTCCAGTACACTTGCCTGGAAAATCCCATGGACGGAGGAGCCTGGTAGGCTGCAGTCCATGGGGTCGCTAAGAGTGGGACACGACTGAGTGACTTCACTTTCACTTTTCACTTTCATGCATTGGAGAAGGAAATGGCAACCCACTCCAGTGTCCTTGCCTGGAGAATCCCAGGGACGGGGGAGTCAAGTGGGCTGCCATCTATGGGGTCGCACAGAGTCCGACACGACTGAAGCGACTTAGCAGCAGCAGCAGCACAGAGTTCACTGTGCTCCACAGTAAGTCCTTGTCAGTGACATTCAGATATTTAGTCTGTATTATCTTCCTTTCATTAAGGAGTGAGATATTTGAGCTGAGAAAGTGTATTTCCTTCGTTATGCTCTGCTTCTCCAAACTGTTCAGAAGGGACAATCAATCACATTATTGCTTAAAAAAAAACGTTATGCTCTGCTTCTCCAAACTGTTCAGAAGGGACAATTAGTCACGTTGTTGCTTAAAAAAAAGTTAGGGGCATTTGTATGTATGTCATATAGAATCCAGCAGAGCCAGTGGCCCTTCTCTACTTACCGATAATGAAGAAACAGGTGTCACCTGATGAAGCCCGGCATCTGTGGTTTCCGTTTTTGCTCACTTGTTTTCTCTCTGCATCTTTTTTCTTTCCACCCTAGGCCTTGGTAGACCTAAACCAGTCTCCTAAGCTGAAGAAACACTAGGGGTCTCCTTGTAGAGCAAAAGTATGCAGGAAGCCAGTGAAAAACAGATTGCAAAGTATGGTAATACTTAAATTTTCCCTTGTCCTCTAGGAATGAGAGGTACCCATAGGCACAAAACAAGCCCTAAATAACATATATGTTTGTTCAGACCAATGAACAATATTATAAGTTGCATAACTTTTTAAATAACGCTTATGATTAATAACTAGTTTTAACAACACAGGGAATATAGTCAATAATACTGTAATAACTTTGTATGGTGACAAATGGTAACTAGACTTATCCTGGGGATAATTTTGTAATTTATAAAATAGATCACTGTGTTGTACCCTTGAACTTAATGTTGTAAGTCAATTATACTTCAACTTTTAAAACAAATAAATAAAAGTAAAAGAAATATTTGGAACACACAAAACCCTAGCTTTAGGCACTCAGGAAAGTGCTAGAATCCATTACAGCTTTTTGGCAGTACCTCAAAGACCACAAAATTTTGGAGGTCAAAAACTGCACCTCTAGGTGTTGTAGCAGCTTAAATAAAAAACTAGGAGTCTTGGCTTTCCCTGTTGAAGCAGATCTGTTCTCTTCTTTATCAGAACCTTCTCCCAATACTGGAGTCTAGGGTCAAGAGGGGGCTTACCTGGGCTCAGTGGTAAAGAATCTGCCTACCAAGGAGGCGAGGCGGGTTCAATCCCTGGGTCAGAAAGATCCCCTGGAGAAGGAAATGGCGACCCACTTCAGTATTCTTGCCTAGGAAATCCATGTCAGAGGAGCCTGGCAGGCTACAGTCTGTGGGGGTTGCAGAAGAGTCAGAGGAGACTTAGTGTCTAAACAACAACAGGGTCAAGAGCACCAAGACAAGCAGGCTCATTTTTCTTCTGGGCTGCTCTGCTATGTGACTGTGGTTAACTTAACCACTCTGTACCTTGGCTTTCTTTCCTACAAAATTAAAAGTAGCATCCAGTTCAAAGAATGGTCTGAATTTTGACTGGAACCAGTCCAGACACTTCTTTGAGTGAGACCTTCTTTGCTGCAAATTGGCTAAAGGAGGTATTGTTTGGCTCAGGCTCTGCCAATGTTGAAAGCCATCAGAGGCATTTACTTCATGCTTAAAGAACATTGTGGAAGAAGATCACAAGGTCCTTAAGAGTTAGCCAGAGTGTCCTGTAAAGACAGGAGAGTTGCACAGCCTCTGCTCCATCTTTTGCTTCCTGCAGTCCTTCAAATTAGATGTGCTACAAAGAGCAGAAAAATCCAGGAGCCAGAGAGCTTCAGTGATCCTAATTTGCTCGTTAGATTTGACAGCATGGTTGACCTGCCAACATTTGTGGTTCAGTGTTATTTGCCAAGGTTAATTTCAGTAGCCAGGTTTCTTAGTCCCTGAAAAGTAATCATTCTTTTGGGGTTTTTTTCAGCTTTACTGAGGTAAAAGTGACAGGTAAAGGGTCATCCCCATTCTTAATTGCACAGATTTCACAGAAGCTGTGTTTGAAGTTTTACTTCATTCCTTAAAGACTTCCAGAGAGAAATTACAAAAAACTTGAGTGAATATAGTATATGAAATTTGCTATTAATAACCCTACTCTATAAATCGTGTCTAGATTTATGTGCATTAAAAAAAAGTCCTTTTTGCTTTTAACTGCCAATGCAATGAAGTGATGAAGAGATTTAGCTATATCAATCAACCAATCAAATATTAGTTGAGCATCTATATATTTTTGTTCTTGACCAGACTTTAGGTCAGCACTGCCCAACAGAAATAGAATGGAACACACATATATAAAAATTTTCTAGTACCTCCATTTTAAAAAGTAAAAACAAACATGTTGTAATGTATAACTGAATCACTTTGCTGTACACTTGAAATTAACACAACATTGTCAATCAACTATACTCCAACTTTAAATAAAAGCTTTTTAAAAAGGAGAAAAATTTTTGAATACTAAGAGAAAAAAGAAATAAGTGAGATTAGTTTGATAATGTGTTATTTAACACAGTATATCTAAAATAGCATTTTAACGTATGTATGTGCTCCGTTGCTTCAGACATGTCCAACTCTTTGTGACCCTATGGACTGTAGCCCACCAGGCTTCTCTGTCCATGGCATTCTCCAGGCAAGAATACTGGAGTAGGTTGCCATTCCCTTTTCCAGGGGATCTTCCCAACCCAGGGATCAAACCCATGTCTCCTGTAGCTCCTGCATTGCAGGTGGATTCTTCACCTCTGAGACATCAGGGAACATGTAATCAATGTTTAAAAAATATTAACGAGGTATTTTGCATTTTATTTATAATGAGTTTTTAAAATCTGCTGTGATTTTTATACTTCCCTACAACCTAGTTCAGACTAACTAC